TCATTAAACAAATATCCAAACACTTTTGCCGCTGATCCGGCGACACAGATTGCGACCCCGGTTGGGGTTCGAGAATCCCGAGACCGGGGACTCGGGCACTTTTTCAATTTCAATTTCTTACCTCTGGTCGCTGGCTGGCGACAAAAGGTCTGCCAAAGTCTTGCCAACTTGTTAATGAAGTTTTATACTTTGGCCCTCATGGCATCTTTTTTTTTTTGGTCTCCCTTTTTGGCCTTGCGCGTGCTGGGCAAAAGCAGTTTAATCGAACGAGAAAGCCTGGCCAAGTAACTAAAGAATTCCACAGGTTATAAGTAATTTATTTAGTTTTCTTGGCAGGAAATTTTAATTGTGTTAAATTGAAAGTAAGGCTACATTCCCAAAAAGATTAAATAAAAATTTTATAATAAAAATTTTATTATTATTACATCATAACATTATTTTTCTTTGAAGATTTGAAAAAGAACTTAAAGCAACTAACCTTTATTCTCTTATATACTTTTTAATCTCTTATTTTCAATAAACTTTTCAAAATTAAAAAATCACTTCATCTCTTAAATTACTGTTTTTTCCACCAACCAAAATTTCAATTTATTCAATCAGCCTTTGAAGCCTCCTTTTCGCCTGGTTCTCAGACAAGCCAGCTCATCTTTCATCATCGCCCTCCGAATTAGCCAGGTTCATTAAGGCTAACACGCCCCCAACAAGCCAACAACCACAAGAACGATCAATGAGCAATGATTAATTGATGATTCGACGGCATAGAAACATTTGACGGCACAATCAAATTAAGGCAGCAAATAAATGTGAGCCAATTATTAAAACCTAATTTTGATGTAGACACCAGATAGCAGACAGCGGATTCGATAACCGATTTCACAGCTCCTCATTCCCCACACCGCCACTCGATTACCAGTTGCTCATCATCAGTGGAGAAGCCTAATGAGCCGACATGCACTTGGGATAGATGCTGCTTGGGATGCTGCGGTTGTACAACTAATCAAGCTGTTCGAGCTGCCAACTTTGATGCATTTCCCAAATTTATGCCCTCGGGATTGATGGCTACGAGCGCCTCGAGTGCCTCTGCTCTGACATATGCAAAACATTTTGTTTGTACACATTTCCAACCTGACAATGGATCGGTGGGGCATAGTGGGGCCCAAAAGGGGCAGAATACCAGTGTCTACAAATAAATGAGCTGAAAATGCAGACAAATCACGGGCGCAGAAGGTGAAAAAGCTGCCAGCTCAAGCTAAGATGAGAGGTGGAAAGGGTAGAAGGCAGCTGAATGCATGTTGGGTATATACGAATAACCAGGGACTTAGATGGGAAATCATACGACTCTTAGATACCTATTTTACTATAAGGTTAGATCTTTCTCTATTAACATTATAATATTACAAACCACAAATATATTTATACAATACACAACAAAAAGTTTTCTATACCTCGATATAGATACCCTTACCAACTCCTTTTATTCCAAACCGTTCCTAATCAAAAGTTAAACAAATCTGTTTCAATTTCTGTAGCTGCGCCAAATTAACCCCAGGCATTCTGTCTCCGTTTCCAAGGGATTTTCTCTTTTTGAAGAATCGAATCGCAGTTTGAAGTCCCTCTTGTTTGCTTTGTTTTTGCCTTTGATGAGTATTGATGAGTTTTAATAAATTGCTGATGAGTTGGCCGGCTTGAAAACCCGAAAAACACGAGAGGAGAATCAACGCCTCGGCTAAAAGAGCGGCAGAATGCAGCCGCGTGGATGAGATGAGCAGATGAGCATTTGAGTGATGCGTTTTTGAAAGTGGCGTCGAATTTCTCAACCGTGAAGCGCCATGCAGAGCAGCGGTAATTGAGATGCTGCCCCAGAGACCGGGCTCCAACTCCAATACGAGTATGTGTAGAGGACGCGGTGTATCCATTTAATTGCCGCCATTATTAAACCCATTTATCGCGTTTTCGTTTCAAAGTGTTCAGGTGTCCGTGGAGAGTGGAGGGAATGCATGTTTAGGGCATAGGGATCCCAGATGCAGATGCCTCAATGCAATTAGCCCGAGCAGCTGCCCAAGATGTGATGCTGATGCAGCGCTTTACATGGGAATTAAGTTGTTTTCCTTAATTAATAAAAGTGGTTTTTAATAGAACGCCATTAGCTTGAACGAAAGACTGAGGCAACAAACTGGCAGGAAGCACCCACCTAGAGCTTTATGCTCTTCAAGGCAGAAAACGTTGCCATATTAACCAGACGTTGAGCAATCCGTCGGCTTGTCACACTTTCGAGTTCATCAATGTCAGGCCGCGACAATCGTAATGATCATAATGATGATGATGATGATGATGATGATGATGACAGGGCAACCGGAATCGGAATATTTCCCTGTTTTCACCGTCACATAAAGTCGTATAATTAACATAATCATAATCAACAAAGTATAAACATTAAATTGAGGCTAATTACTTTATAACCGACACTCAACTGCGAAACATCTGACAGTGTTGTATGCTGAATTACCCCAAAAAATGGAAAAAAATACACAAAACAAACATGTTCACTTGTGGCAAACTCGTTTCAATTACGAGGAATCGAGCGGTGGCTGCAACAACAAGAAATACTTAACCGGATGGAGCCAAAAACGAAAAAAAAATAATGAAAAAGAGTCACAAATTATGCGAGTACGCGGCAGTTTCACACATGCCAATGAAATTTGATTTAATTTTCGTCTAAATGGCGGCTATGATCACGTTTCTGAAGTCTGCCGGTACAAGACTGCAATACCCACGGACATTGCTGGCTGAAATACACAGAAAAACTATATTAGAATCCTGATAAAGATAAAAAATACAAATAAAAAACTTAGAAATTATTTAAAAAAGAAACCTACAACTATCTCAATAAAATGTAAAGGGAATTATATATATTTTATATAATCAGTTACCAACTTTTTCTCAGTGCATTCTAGCCCGAATGCCTAGCAGTAGCTTACAGCTACCCGTAAACTATTGCAACCGCTAACTGCCAACTGCGGCCGCTCGAATGAAATTCGAGCAAGATTAAAAGGCAAAGTTAGCTCAAAACTCCGCTTCAGATTTTTATGACAAGCGCATGAATCCGTGTGCAATTGTAAGTGCGCCATATAATTTACAGATAATTATTATAATTACAGGTTATTTTCAGTTAACATGTTTGCAGCGGCTGTTGTTGTTGTTCTTGCTGCTGCTGCTGCTCGACTGGCCTCCGGTGTGAATTGTTGTTGGCCAGCCAATTAGTTAGCTCTTTTCGAGCTCCAAATATATATTTGTGCAATAATAATTAAGTTGTTTTATGCGATTTAATTCTTAATTAGTTTGCTTACGATTAGTTAAACGACTGAGTACGACGAGTGTAATTCGAGCGCAGCGAAAGACTTAAGCAACAAACTTAACGAAAAACCAAAACGAAAGACTTAAGCAACGAACTTGACCAATGCGAATGACTTAGGCAACAAACTTGAACCAACCACCGAAGACATGAAGACATGATGCTAAGGCTAGTAAAACATCTTATCGGTGGGGATGTTTGGTACCGTTTATTGAGAACAAGATAGAAATGGTTTTTATGCGATTAAGAAAGTGATAAGAATAACATCAAAGATTTAACGACATAATAAAGTGAACGAGGCGATTCTGTACCTTTTTGCTGGACGAATTTCATTCAACTTAATTAGGGAAAAGTTTCGAGTACCTGAGTCATCTCCCTCACTCATAACTCTTTGGCCAATTATGCGTTATGGCCGAAACCGAAAACTGAAACTGAAAATACTGTATCTCTCTGGGCCGTTGGTCATAAATAAATTTGCCCAGCTCAGGAAAAAGACCTCGGACTGAGTATAAGGAAAACAATCTATGGGCAGGGCCAAACAGGACAGGAAAGAGAGTCTGGTCAAGTTGGGTTGGCCAGCTTGTGGGCTTGGAGTGCGATAAAAATCGCTGGCAATTTGTTAAATTTAACGATTTCGAACCGCCAACTAACGAAAACTGTGCCGAAAGTTGCCCAGTCGAAGTCGCCCCCGAACCACACCCCTCCCTCTTTGGCTTCGACTGTTTTATGGCCAAATAAATAATTAAAATGATGCGTGGTGTTAAGTGCCGCCACGTCGAAAAGCTCGATGGAGAACAACCACCACAACCACCGCGATATCCGACACCACACGCAGTCTGACCGGACCATTTCTTTTGAAAATTTGTCATAAATTTATCGCTTTCGCGACCGGGTTCACTAAACCTCCAACTTGGGCACGTACTTTGTCGCAGTCCGAGCTTAATTGCTTGTCATGTGGCACACATTTCTGGCGCAAATTGGTCGCCAGATATGCGACCGTCTGAGACGTGTCCCTTGGCACGCGGACCACACAGAGTCTGAAGTTCTAAGACCGCCAAAAATTGGTTACTCTTTAGTCTTCCCTTAAATAAACTTTTACCCTTCGGATCATCAAGAACTAACAATGCCCTAAAATAACTTAAGCTGAAAATTTTGTTTAATTCAAGATCAAATGTTAAGTATTAGTTATTCATAAACAAAATCAAAATTAAGAGAAATTTTTAAAACTAATTAAATAATATAATTTCTTTAATAAAACAAAATTCCTCTCATCCTCCAAGTACCCATCACTGACTATAACTTAAAAGGCAAAGGCACACATTTCATAAACTATTTTACGCCCTTCACTTTAAGACCCGGTTTAACCTTCATGGAATAAAAAAAAGACCTAAAAAGAGCTCCATTAAAGGCGGTCACAACACACAACCTGAGTTAGAATCAGAATGAGACTGTCAGTTCAGTTTAATTCCTGTTTTTAATGAAGTAATATGCTTTATGAGTGCTCGACTTCTTGCGCACAAAATGTCACTTGTCGCAGCTTCTTGTCTTTGGAGATCTCTTCTTTATGGGTGTACGCGATCGTAAAAGACAACAAACGCATAAAATGAGGTCTAGACCCTAATCTTAACTGATCTTGAACGGCGTTAATCAAAAAGCGAGAGAGAGATGGGAAATGGAAAATGAAGTAGCAAGTGCCTCTTCCAAGGGTTTCTAGGTAAATGCTGTCAAAAGGAAATTTTCAAGTACTGAGATTTTTGGGAAATCTCGTTTCATTGGGAGGCAGTACTAAATGGGATGTTTGTGCTTGAGGAAGGCCACCTCCTCACCCTCAGTGCCGCCGGATATCATGCACACACTCAAGATGAAAACGGCATGTAGGCATCTATATCTCTAGAAATCTTAAATACTTATTTACCCTCTGTAGTAAGTAGAAGTCAGATAAAGTATCTTTACAAACGGTTCTATCAGTTTTCGGGTGACGGCAAAGATCCTCCAACTCAGCTGCACAAGTACAACTTCTACTCGGGCCTACTGCAATTGAATCCTCTGTTGCCAACCATCTTGAACTCCATGTTCGGGGATAAGATGACCATCAGCTTTGTGGACTTTGCCCTATTTCTGAGCACCTTTCAGGCCCACTCTCTGAAAACCTCTAGGGAACTGAAAAACGCAATAAAGGATAAGAAGTTACAGTGTAAGAAGGGGCCAATCCTAAACTTAAGCAAAATCTTTTGAGCACTTTTCTATCTCACAGTACTCTTCAACATGTACGACCACAACAAAGACGGTCGCATCACAAAGTATGACTTGGTTATAGTAGTGCACAAACTGTTCTCAAATCTTTTGAATCATGTACAGATAATGCGGATAGTGGACACCATGATGAAGGAAATGGAGCAGTCGGAATCAAATCACATATTGTTCGAGGACTTTTGCAAGGCCTTGGAGGTCTTTGACATGACCGAAATGATGGTCACCTGGATACCCGAGTTCCATGGCCGAACAACCGATGATTTGCACTGATTTAGCTTTGCAAATTGATTTGTTTATTAAACAAGGGAAAATGTTTAACACAATATACAGATTTCAGTCACTAAGGGCTTTCAGAATTGGTTGCAAAGCCGTTAGAATATTATATAAATTTGGGTTTAAAAGTTTCAATGAACTGAGATCTGCTGAGGAAAGGTTGGAAAGCACTCTCGAAAATTTTTCCAAAAGAGAGGTGTCCAAACAGGTGATTCCCGACGAGCTAGATACAGTACCAAAGAGTCCAGCAGCTTCAGATGTTAGGATTAATTGCAAGATCAGGATCTAGGAATCAAAACAGAAGAGCTTAAAAGCTGAAATTAAGTTTAAGTCAGTACTTAACTCACAGAAATGACAAGGATCTTTGCGATCCAACATCTCTTTAAGGCCATAGACATATTTCAAGTTATAATAAAACTATATTGCTGTTTAAACTGTATAACAAAACTAAATTGCTTTTACCTTTTATATACAAAATTTCTCTTCTTTTAAACAATCACGATTCCTTACCAACGATAGGTTATATCGAGGCAATACAGTTCGTGAGTGGATAAGATTGGTTTGAGGTCTTTAGTTACCTAACAGAATCACATCAATTACCGGCCGTCGAATGCCAAGTTTTATGACTCTATTAGGGCGAAAAATTCATATATGAGAGAAGGGGAAATAAGGTAAGCCCAGCAAAATGCCAACCTAAAGCTCATAAACTTTACTACCTTTGGCTCCAGCTGATTGTCCATATATGTGGGGATATGCCTCTATATAGTCATCGTCATTATACCCGTACACCCTTTGCTCCGATCTTTTAGGCGCGTTGAAGGAATTTTGTGGGACTGGCTGTTGTATTTTTCGCTTAGCAACATAAATAACATTTTATTGGCAATTTGGTTGCGAAATTAATGTGCATACAGTTGGCAACTTTGGTAATTTATGCAAATAAAACGATCGTAAATTTGGCATTAAAACGCTTATTAAATGATCGTTTATTAACCCACCGTTTCATTCGTTCGGTTCAGTTGGGTTAATTTCCCGAAATGGATAAGCCCCTCGCTGTTGCAACAACGTTGCGATTTGTAGCACTTGCATAAATTAAGTGATTAACAGAATTGTTCTTAAATGTTGGCAGCTACTTACAAGATCGATATTATTTACGACTTGGCCCCGAACCAAATGTATCCGTGTGTCTATAACTTCTGGGAAAGCGCAGATCCGATGGCTAAGCGATATCTCTTCTCCTTTTTTTTTTTGCCCCTTCATATTGTTTAATGTATTAGCTGGCGCATTGTGTGTTAATTTGACATTCCTCGGGAATGAGGATGAGGATGAGGATCGGGATCGAGATTGGGAATGGGAATGGGAATGGGAATGGTCAGCTTCAACACTCTGCAGAACGACAAACGAGGCTTGTTGCTGTCAAAAGCAAGAATTATAACCATATAAAATCAGTCGGCATGGCCACTGATTCTGTTGCTGCTGACCTGTCTTTATCTCCTGTTCTCCTGTTCTCCTGTCCTCCTGTCTTACTGTCCTCCCATCATCATCGTCAGCCCCATCATCATCGTCTCGGGCAGGATTAGCAAAATTAATGCGGCAAGCTGGATGCTGAGAATCCCGAGCTGTCAGCGCTTCGAGTCTTCACTTTATCACAAACCAAGGGAGATGGCAGGGTTTATGGGGTAAACCAAGTTAAAAAGATGGAAAATTTCAATGAAATTTTAAAATATATTCCAATAAATACAGGAAAATGCATATATTCTTCAAGTAAATCATTTTTATAGGTCTTTAAAGGCTACCAAATATGAGAAATAATGGAGATAAACTTAAAAACTAAATAACTTAATTCAGTAAGAAATCTATATTTAATATTTAATTTGTTATTTTTATTACCATTACTAATTTCTCCAAGGGCTACCTGTGTCGAAGTACAGAAGTGTTTGTATCAACGACTTACATATTTCTGGAATAATAATCCCCGAAAATCAACGCATTAATCAATGATCGGGCTGAGACGACAAAGCTCATTTCATTCATCCAAAACCCTTGTCAAAGGTGACATTGTTACTCATTCCCCTATCCTTAGTATTATTGTTTCCCCTTTTTTATGATCTTTTTCGTTTAACAGAAAAAAAGAGAAATACACAAAAATATTGATTGATATCCCCAACGGTTTGGAAAATATTTTAAAAGCGCTCAGCGATTGGCAAAGTGTCTTTATAGAGTGTCGTTGTGTCTCGATGTCCCCTATAGATGTTGATTCAGTCATAGGCCCCAAGGAGGAAGTGAAACTCGTGTTCATTCATGGACGAGGTGAATAAGAAGTGTTCGGACTCATTCAGAGGGCAATCTTTGTTCGATCTGCCCACAGGCGAAGGCCTAGGGCATGATAATGATGGCTTAATAATTGAAATTTATCAAAATAAATTAGTCAAATCGTCTTTAGGTCGGAATACCACATTAATTACAGACTCTTTGGAGAGGCATTTTGGCATTTGAATTGGTTGGGACAAATGGGCCACAAGAAGAGGTCAAACACTGTGAGAAAATACTTTAACAAAGTTGAGAAAAGTTATATATGAAATACCTTGTTAGTGATATAACTTCACTTTGAACTTCACTTTAGAATAACTTAACATACTTTCGTTTGTTCCTTTTATTTCTGAATTAATAAGATTTTTAAACCCTATTTCTTTCCGTGCAAAACCAACTTAGCTAAGCCAAGACCTGGTTAAATAAACCATTTCAATGACAGAGAACTGTGGGCCCATAAATTTGGCCAGCAATTTACAACGATCAATTCATAAATTTATTAATGAATTAAGTTATAAGGTAATTTCGCGGCATCCTCGCCAGGTCGGGGCTCCGCCGGTCCGATCTGTTCCGTTCCCAGCGAACGAAATGCAATCTGCTCAAAACAAAATGATGATCGCTGATGATCGTTGGCAATATATCAACGGCCGAGGCAGACACGGCCTCCACCGCCGCTGCCGTCGCCACTGCCTGGCGACCTAATCGAATATTGTTGGTCCAACGAGCCGGTCGGTCCTCGGATTCTTGGAACTCGGAACTCGGAACGAAAAGGTAAGAGCAACGGAGCAATGCAGGAGGAGGGAAATTTAAATGAAGCTGTGGCAGGAATGCAAGAATAACGATGGGCAATCGCGGGGGATCGGCTTAGTTCTATGCCACGGACATGATTAGCAAACACGACTGGGTCCATAATCGTTATCAATGCGGCACCATCGTCAACACCAACAACACCGAGCACCGAACACGGACAACAACTTTTGCATTTCTTGTTTATAAATTGGAATTTAAAATTAATTAAGTTGTCGTTTTGCGCTTTATCCAATTTATAACTAATATGACACCGATTATACGAAATATGTTCACTAATTAACGAACAAACACCGCAACTCTCCAGACACCCCCTCCATTTCCATTTCCATTTCCCCATCTTGCAACCTCGGTCTCCTCCTCCTCCACCGCCTTCTCTTGCGACCTGTGTCCTCCGATCTCCCTCTCTCTCTCTCTCTCTCTCTGTCTCTAAAATAACCAAAGTCCAGGCAGACAGCCAGGCAACATTCAATGTCGCCGTTGGTTTTCCTCTGCTTGGTTTTAATACCCTTAAAGAAAGTATTTTTACCATTCAAAGAAGAAACTTTTTATATGAATGATTACCTCTAAAAAATCATAACATTTCTCTTAAACGGCCTTAGAAAACAAAATATCAGATGGATTTAGTCACAACCCATTTTGATATTTGTTTATAAAATATTGTACATACATTCTTTCTTCTATAACTTTGCAATTCTTCTAACCTTTAATGATGATTAAATCTAAACAGTACTAAATATTAGTTAATTCCTTTAAAAGAGTATCTTATAGTTCGGTTTCTATAACTTAATCACCTTCCTTGTTAGTATCCCCGCTGATTTTTGCTGCCTTCGCTGCTGCCGTGTTGTTGTTTGTTTCTTAGTCCGCTGCTGATGATGCTGCTGCTTTTTGCCTTCTTGCTGGCAGTTGGATCGTGTCCGCGTGCTCGTAATCTGCTCGCTGAAGACGCGTTGTAAATTGTCTGACAAAGCTTATTTTATTAATTTAAGCCATAAACGCTGGCCTCTCTGGATGCCAGCTTGCCAGCTCCTTCTTAGCTTTGCATACCCCTTTCCCAGCCCCAACACCGATCGCCGCGGAATCGCTTCAGGTTCAGATTCAGGTTCAGAATCAGTTCCATATAGCCGGCACCAATTTATTGCCATCGTAAAAAGCCGTTTTGCGTTTTAATAAGCCATGTTCGGCTCTTTCGTTTCGGTTGTTAACAGAAGGCGTCGACCATTTCTCTGTCTTTGGTTATTTTTCAGTCTTCTGCTTTCTGCTTTCTGCATTCTGCATTCTTCGGGCATAACTGAGAAATTGGTCTTGTGTTTTGGTGTCCAGCGAATTGAAAGTGTCAAGAAATTGGCCAATTGAGTGACACTGGTTTATGGAATGCCCAGTTAAAGATCAGGGACATTTATGGCAGTTTCGGAATTATTGGGGAAATATTTTAAGTGCTCAAGGAATGGGTTACCAACTTGAAATGAAGTATTAATTTGTACATAAAGAAACGTAACTATAAGTAAGAAAGTAAGTTAACTATAAGGCTTACTGATATACCTTTAAAAATAACATTGTCTTTCAACCTGACCTAAACGATGTAAATTCCTAATGAATTTCCCACACCGATTGCTTAAATTGCAGAAGTAAAGAAGAAACACTTTCAATGCCTGCAAAGCAAATAACCAAACTGACCCCAACTTGACCCGCACAATCCCACTCAAATCACTAGTGTGGGTGCAGGGGATCAAGGGGGAGGAGGAGTAAAATCCACTCCCACTACCAGTATCCAGCACATAATAAAAATAAATATGTCAAAATTAAGTAAGCAGCAACAATTTCGAAAGAGATAAGAAACGCACACAAGAAGTAATAAAAGTGCGAGGGGCGGCGGAGGAGGTGAACATGGAGAACCCTTTGCTGGCCATAAAACAAGGCGTTGAAATCAGTAAAA